ACCATGATTTCACTGAACACATTTAACAAACAAAGGCTATATTTTACATAAATCTGTGCAAAATCTGTAGAAAAACCCCTTATGGGTCCCCAAAGTTAATGAACAAACTATAATAAAAAAAAAATTCACTCTTTTTCACCTTCTTAACTCGGGTTGCCAAGTCCTGCACAAATAATTTCCGCAGGTTATGGAGAGTCTGCAGCTCTTTAGCCTGGAGAGAATGGTAAAAACGTAGACTGAGAACACACACACGCACATACACGCACACACAACCCTCATATATAACCTGAAACTCCCACACCAGTGAAAAGAAGTAACTCACAACTGTCTCCTCCAGGCCCTTGAGGTCTTGTCTGGCCTGCTCCCTTCTGTCCTGCATAACCCTGTTCTCACACACACACACAGGCCATGAAAGATTGTACTCAAAAACCCAAGTAAATAAACAGCATTGTGAATAACATTCATCAAAATAAATCAGCTTCTACACAATGGAATGTAACACTCAAGACCCCAATTAGACGACTGGCGTGCGTGACAAACACGTACGTTAGCTCATGCAGCTTGCGGCTCTTCTCCTGGTCCATAGATTTGAGCTTCTCGTGTTCCACCCGGAGACGCTCCTGTTCCAACATGATCTTCTGGTTCGTACTGTATAAAAACAGAGACACAACACGAGATGATTAAAGTAAGTATATGCCAGGGGTTTGTAATCCATCCTTATTCATCTGTAGGACACTGGGTGTCTTACTCCTGCAGTTCAGTAATGAGTTTCTCCTTAATCTCGAGTTCATCTCTCAGGCTGCTGAGCTGCTTCTGATGAGCCTCCCTGTGGTTCTGGATCTGCTGCTCCACCGCAGCCTAAACACACAAACACACATTCCATTATAACTCCTTATTCTATCGATATCCAAATGCTGTGTCACTTCCATATAAATAACATCTGGCATCAAAAAACATCAGCAAATGAGATTTAGATGTTTAGCAGTAAATATTTAAGGCCTGAGGCAAGACTGGCAGTTAGCTTGATCATGTGAGTTGAGATTCACAAAGGAATATCAAGATCAAGAGCAATCAAGATCAGTTAATCAACATACACTGAAAATAACCTGGAAAATGGCAGGTTAAGGTTAAGCCCAATTGCACCTGCACTATTTAGAGGCAACAGAACAGAGCATATGCTCTAGCAATTTACATTCTCTTATTAAGTAACTTTATGTTATTTATTTCTTTAATCCGTCACCTGTCTACTCTATATGCACTCTGTACTTTGTAAACATTACTCATTGTATGAGTAATCTAATATCTTTCAGTAGAATTCTTGGTCACTATACTAAATGTGACCAAGGATTTCGAACATGCAAACACACATTCATTGTGTATGTAGGGTAATTTCCTAAATTGTTTGTGTATTTTCTCTACATTTTCCAAGAGATGTTCTGCTTTGAGTCTATTTCCTTTCTTGGCCTCCTGTCCTTGATCACATTTCCAGAGCTCTGCTGATGAAAGCTTTTAAAGTTTGTTGTGAATGCACACAGTCCTGACTCAGCCTGTTTGGGGTGGAGTTATTTAACTGTAATCTGCTTTCCACAGGCACAGGATTTTTCTAATTCATCACTGAACTCAATATTAGGTTTCTTGTCACTCTCTTTGTGCTCTCTTCCTGGAACTGAGTCCATCATAGCATCGAAAGAAAATATTTACTTAAAATAAAGATGGAGGACAAATTAATGAAAACAAAACCAGGGAAAAAGTACAAACATGACACCTGAAGGCAAATGGTCTGTAGCCCATTACTGTGGATAAATAACAATCAGTGGTAACACTGATTCTTAATTCTGCCAAAAAGGGCATTTGAAAATAGGAAGGCACTTTGGCAGAGTCACTACACCACTGAAGAGAAGTGTAGGGAAGTGTCTCTGGGTGGAAAGATTAACAATCCTACAACAACCGCATTTGATCAATCAATGGTCTGCACCGTTTGTAGCTCCGCCCATTTGTCCCGGGTCAGCTCACATGGTACCCGAGTGACCAAATACAGCACAGGTCCTAGTGAACCATACGGCTCACTTGGAGGTGTAAACTTGCTTAATCACATCATACAGTCTGGTGAAAAAGTGCTATTATATTACAGGGATGGTTTATAGTTGCATACCTTGACCTCATTGGCTGTCTGAATCTCATTCTCTTTCTCCATAGCATGAACTTTCTCTGTAAAAAATTACATGCAAGTATTCAGAAAAGACAAATAATGTAAAGGCAGGGGCAGATTTCCACCAAGGCCATTTTAAGTGACTTGTATATAAAGCTGCAAACAGGTATCTTACAGGTAAACTGTAAAATTTAAAAACCGTGCTATTGTGTGCCATTGTGTGCATACCCTGTGCGCTGATTTTGACAAGTTCCTCATTGAGCGAGTCGACATTTTCCTCCAGCTGCCTCTTTTTCTGTTCCACATTCTGAAGGTACTCCGTTAGAGACTTAATTTTAGCCTCATGCTACAGAGACAGAGAAAATCAAAGCAGTTAACACATTATTCTTAACACACTCCTGAGTTAAGACATATAAATCACAAAATGGGAGGGGTTTTCCCAATTACATGGCAACTAAAGCTAATAACTGTCTGTTTTCACTTAGTCCTATTGCTCTCATTTCGGTTACCTGAGAGATGCGGAGCTGGCATGCAGCCAGTTCCTTCTCGTTCTCGTCCATCTTCTTGTTGCTGTCGGCCTGTGCTGCCTCCAGCTGCTTGCTGCGCTTCACCAGGGTCTTAACCTCTGACTTCATCTTACTGATGTAAAGCCTGGCCACAGTAAACTCCTCATCAATCATCCCACTGCCCTCATGCTGCTGAGAGACAGAGAGAAAAAAAGTGTCAAATTAAAAAGAAGAGAGACAAAGAAGAAGCTAACACAAAATGCGGAAATCAAAATGCAAGTACTGCCACCTGCAACAGAAACTTTCTTGTTCCGTATGATTAAGTGGAAAAAAGGAGGGTTCAGGGTAATGCAAAGCTCCATCCCAGTTCTCTCAACACCAGCATGCTGCAGATGTGTTGAAGCACAGCAACCCTGTGACTTACCTTGATGTCATTGCTGCCCACAGCAATCCCGATCTCTGCCAGGTCTTTAAGCAGTGACGACATCATCTCAGTCACCCTCTTCTTCTGGTGGTTGGTCATCTCCTTCAGTTTCTGCAGCTCAGAGTCTAAAGAGGCTAAAACACTCTGGAAAAAACAAACAGGCAAAACTATAATGAGCAGCACTAAGGACAAATTAATAAATATTTAAACTTTAAAATCAGTGCAGTACAGTGTTTCATTTGCAATCTTCTCCAATGACAAAAAAAAAATTCTGGTAAGGAGTTAAGTGTACTGCTTTAGCATGATTAATAAAATAATGTCCATCATGCACTGCAACTGCTCCATCAACGCTGCATTTAAAACCCTGCTTAGAACTCCAAGTGCAATACTACCTCTTGCTTTCTTCTTCATAGAAGTTTTTTGCAACTGTGTAACATGTGGTGGAACATTCATACACCTGTAAAGAAAACAGAAAATGAATGCCTGCACACCGATTTCTGGTTGAGTTCCTCACTGATGGTCTCAAACTCCTTGGTCTTATCCTCCACCTCCTGGCTCTTCTGGTCATAGTTGACAGCAAGTTCCTCCAGTGCCTGCAGCACCTCCTTCACCTCCTCCTTAGACGCTTCGTTCTCCATCTGCAGACGCATCAGCTCTGCCTGCAGGTTATCGTGGTCTCTCCGTGATGAAGCCAGAAGCTACAGAGCACATACATTTATTAACGCAGTGCGCACACACACACACAGGTCTATACACATGGCTCATCCTACAGGTTGTCACAGTTTTACTTAAACAAAGCTAACAGAACAGACACATTGTGAAAAACACCTTGTAAAACAAAAATCTGCAGAGACTCTCACCTCTTCCTGGTCCAACATCTGCTGCTTGAGCTTCTCAGCCAGCTGAGACTGCTGATTTATCTCATCATCCTACAAAAGGCAGGACAGGAAGAACGGTAGAAACCAAGAAAAGAGAAGAAAGATATTGAGGCAATGTGAGTACGCATAAACGGTGCAGCCGTTCAAAATATAATGTGCCAAAGCATTTACCTTATCATCGAGCTGCTTGTAAAGTTTAGCCAGCTCAGCCTCACACTTCTCTCTCTCAGTGTCCGTCAAACGCACTCCAGGGATGTTAGGAGTGGAAGCTATCTTGTCGTTATTCATAGTGTTATCCAGAGCCAATACCTCAGCGTTAGCCTTCTCTTTATCATATTGCTCATCAATCGGCACAGTCTCGCCTGAAAGCAACCATACGAACCTTAGAGCCAGGCTAAATTAAAGCTACTTTATACTGTGGTCTGAAGAAATGCTTTATTGTAACTAGTGTGTGTGCAGGATTTTACCATTCCTCCAGCGGTTGAGCTCATTTTCCAGCCAGGTGATGGTGTTGCGGAGCGTCTTGTTCTTTTCTTTCTCCTTCTCATATTTTTTCTTCCACTGTTCTGCCGTCAACTCCACATTCACAGTCACTGTGTTCTTAATGGTCTTTGCCCTGAAAACAGCATACACACAAACACACCGTAAGTAACCCAAACTTTTTTTTTTCCCTTTTTAATGGTCAAAGGGCAAAAAATTGTCACTACAGAGCAGGAGTTGTCAATTTCCTTACACAGCAAAGTATTTCAGAACCAGGCACCTGAAACACACTGATGCAGAACGGATTAAAGTATGGAGAAAGGGAAAAAGAGGGGAAAAAACCCCAAAAAACTGTCCACATGTTGGTTCAATTTTTTTTTTTTTTTCCAAAAACAGAAGCCATTGCAGCTTCTGCAGCAGATTCTCTGTTGAAACCAATCGCATGCATTTACCTAAAATGCATTTACCTGAAGACAGCTCAACGAGAAAGAGAAGAGTTTTTACAGACATACATAGACAGTGTTTTTTGTTTTTTTTCCTTCATTACCCCTTTCTGGTCTGGGTCCATGGAGGACTAGTGGTTAGTCCTCAGTACTCTCACCACCGCAGCCTGGGTTCGAATCCCTGCCAGGGAACTGACCCCAGCCACCAGGGTTGCACACGACAGTGCACTCCCAGTGCCGGTCCCAAGCCCGGATAAAACTGGGGAGGGTTGCGTCAGGAAGGGCAACGGGCGTAAAAAACTGTGCCAAATCAAAATAAGGACCAATGATCCGCTGTAGCGGATCAACAGCAACAACCCTTTCTGGCCTGATTTGCAAAGATTTCATTGTAAAATTTACAATGAAAACAGACTGTTTAAAGATGATAAGACAGAGAAATGCATGTTTACTCTCTGCTTCAAGTTCAAAACAGGTGTCTCTTCTGTTCAGAGTCCATGGTACTGGTCAAAAGTGGTAATAAAAACATCACTGCAAAAACAAAAAACACTCAAAATTGGTGTGTTTTATTTATAGCCGTGAACTAATGGCTGCACATTAAAAGGTAACTGTCACCATTCAGTCATGTTAGTTACTTATCTGGACCTTTGTAAGCAAGGAATTTTATTCAGCTGGGCATTTACAAAATGTAATTGTATATTATCCCTGTGACAGAGGTCGCTTTTAAACATGTGACAGGTGACTGTGTCTGGGGACCAATTTGCATATTTACAGAATCTGATTTCATGATGGTATGATTGTGTGCTTTCTTCTTTTGTCCACTGCCATTTCTGTCACTGCTATCAATAAAAAAAAAAAACTACTGGTTGAAGGTTTCCCTGTCAAACAAGTCCCTGCTGATGTAATAAGGTTAGAACTGATGTCTCAGCTTTCTAAAATGTGTGTTTATCCTCACCTCTGTCCAAACATGAGTGTAGATTTGGTCTCAGCCTCATTAAAAGAGGAGGGAGAGCAGCAGATGACGATGGTAGTCCTGCAGTTGCCACCCAGAGAGTCCTGAAGAATCCTAGTCATCTTACTGTCTCTATACGGAACATACGTCTGACAGAGACATGCATATGATATTAATGAAACGCCAAAGGAATGAGATTAACTTCATGTACAGGTTACAGTGGATTTCATATATATCTTATCCATATCATTTTGTGTTTATAATACATAAATGTACTAAAAACATACCGATCCTTCAGCCAGTGCAGAAATGACATTTCCCAGTGAAGAGAGGGACTTGTTAATGTTTTTGGCTTCATCCAACACAGCTCCTTCTGCTCCAGTTTTACTGACCTACACACACACACACACACACACACACACACACACACACACACACACACGCATGTGGAACTACATTACTATAACACAGATGAGCAAACCCAAGATGGAGAAAACACCAACAATTGGGAATTAGATCAAAACTGAAATGGTGGTAAGGTTTACCTTCTCACTGCCAGCCAGATCGACCAGATACAGCTTCCCACTCAGCTTTTGCTCTGTCTGTGTGTTTTCCTGCTTCACATTAATCAGGAAGATACTGTGACTCCTAGAGCTGTGCTCATTCATGTCTGACAAACAAGAACAAGGGAGAAAACACAAGCTGTTACGTCCATTTTCTGGATTCTGTTTTGGTGTACATGTTCTGGAGATTATTATTACGTAACAAGAAACAACTTGGGGCTTTTTTTTTTTTGTTTAACTCAACATTAGTCACAGCCAAATCTGACCTGCTGCAAGCCTTCCAGATTAGTGGTGGTAATTCAATAGGGAAGGGGAAGAGCTTTTCGTATGCTTCCTCTGTGATGTATACGTCACTGCCCTGCTTTGTTTTGAATGATCACTCATGCAACATGGACAGTCTGTCAGCCAAATAACTTAAGCTTAAGTAATTTGTTGGAGTCACAGACAATGCCAGGAATAAATGCAGGGCTGTTGACAGCAGTGGCTCTTAACACATCCCTCTCCAGTAACCACAATAAATATAACATACTACGACACATCCTGTCTGATTTTCAAGACTAACACACCAATCAGAGTGTTTTACAAGATTTACAAGATAACTAATATTTCCTGGGTAATTTCCTCAAGAGTGCATATTTCAAGAACACCAGATTTTCCTGTGAAAGTTTTCCAAAGCACGGTCAGGAAAATGGAATTAGTCTTAGCCTTCTCTAAAAACAAGTAAGTCATACACTGAGACTTCTACCTATATTCATACCACACACCTAGCAAATAAGTGCACTTTGTAGATTATATATATATATATATATATATATATATATATATATATATATATATATATATATATATATAAACAAACTGTAGCTATGCACAATTTTCCTCAGCACAGCAGTGACGTTGTCCTGGTAATGCATGTGGAAGTTGTACAAGTGAATCAGATGCAGCTGCACTTTTTAAACAATTGCCGCTAATAAGTTGAAAATAGCTGGATTTTTATCCGTGGACTAACAGGGTGCTGAGATCAACAACTGATCACTGATGAAGGGCTAGAGAACACAAACTGTGCCTAATACACTCATAGCAGGTGGTCCACCACCCGTAAAATAACCGGTCAGTGGTGGTCCTATGGCCTGCTGTTGTCTTGAATGGGTGGAGAGCAACAAATACGGTACGTGTACCTGACAAAATGGTCAGTGAGTGCTGATACATGATGTTTAATAAACTGGCAACTCAGCCTATTGGTGGATAGAAGAAAAAGTGCTTGGGCATACTTGTCACAGCCACATGTCTATTGGATTTTCCCTCATCAATGGTGTCCATCACCTCTTCTGGGCTGCACACAAAGCGCTCAGTGCAACCCTGCACAAACAAGCAGAGAGAGAGAGAGAGAGAGAGAGAGAGAGAGAGAGAGAGAGAGAGAGAAACCATGAATTATCCCTGTAATTCACCCCTAGACACAACCAACCACCCAGCTTTCTTCTTTCATACCACTGTTCATGTGTCATATTCACCTTGACATATGGGACCCTGTTCTTGTCTTCATGCACAGATAGATTAGTCTTGGACACTGCAAGAGATTTTTTGAATGAATTTAAATAGTAAATAAAATATGTACAAAACCAAGTCATCATGCATAAGAAATGAAATTTTACCATATGTGAAAAATCTAGTCTAAAGCTATGATATGTCATCAGTCTGATGCACGACAGTGCAATCAGTTATTTTATGAATAACAGAGAAGATAATCAGTGAGCTGTATTTACAACAATTAGCATCAGTCTCACACTTACCATCCAGCAAGTCTCTGATTTTATCCAGGTAGATTTCAAAATAGGAGACCTAGCAACAAAACCAAGTTAACTCCAATCAGTGCTTAATTATTTACATGCTATTATACTTTATACACAGTGCCCCTGGAGCTGCTGTCTAATCCAGTTTATTTACCTTGATATGGAATTCCAGGTTTTCATCCATGGAGTAAATGTAGTTAAATATGTCCTGTACAATACGTGGAATGATTCCCATTCCATCTGGGTCATGCAGACTACCCTGGAAAAATAAAGAATTTGTGTACCTTATGCGTGGCTAATTATTGTGCATTAAAAATGAGTTATGCATGGCTTTTTGTGGCTCCACAGCTACTACGGTGGCTTACCTCCATAGTGTGTGTTTTTCCAGATGAGGTCTGTCCATAGGCAAATATTGTACCATTGTAACCCTCAAGCACATCTACAAGTGGGGAGAAAAATAATACATGTAACATGTGAAACTTGCTACTGAATAACAACAAAATGTAAATGTTTAAGTTTATATTTTGGTCATTTTATGGTGTGCAAAATTCAAAGGTAGATAATGGGCCAGTATTTATCCCACTCATGTTCACATGCATGAAGCTCTGCCCATTTCTACCTCAGTGTCCTCAGATTGCGACACTCCTCACCTTTAACAATCTGCTGAGCGCAGGCTTTGTAGACCTGCTCCTGGGTAGTGTTGGACTGGAAAACGCGGTCAAACATGTACGGCTTTCCCTGAACAACACAAGAAAAGAAGCTTCTAAATAATTCTGCATCTTTCTCCTTGTTTGTGTTCACTGGATTACATATAAAAGATCATTTGTGTTAAAAGACAGCATATAAAGACTCTCTTTATTCAGCCCCAGTATGTGTAAAAGCAACTGTAGCTGGCTGGCAATAAACTGTATCTTTGGCTAATCAGCTGACTGCAGTCATGAGACAGGGCAATCACAGTAAAACACAGGCACACAAACTGTTTAGCAGTCTGTGTGGTGCCAGCGGAATCCAGCAATTACTATTTAGAAATCTGTATCTCTATCTGATAAAATAAGTCTGTGATTAAGCAAACATTGTTAGTTATCAGAAGACAAAGTCTGTTACACAAACACAGCATGTGTTTTAATCTCCATTTATTCCCGTTTACTACAAAATGGTTCTTATGGTTCAATGGACTGACAAAACCTCCAGACAATGACACAGCAGAAACATTTCAAAGCATGACGTGGTTAAAGAATCTCCACTGTGTGGATGAGCTGTAAGGAAGGAAATAAGGAAAACTAACTGAAACATCTTAGGCAACTACTGGGGAAAAAACTTCTGGTCAAGCACTCAAAAAGATGACATAATACTCAGAAATGACCATGAAATAACACCATTATTATAATTATTGGCCAAAACCCTAGGCAAGGGGTGTCCAAAACTTTTTCAAAGTGGGGTCAGATTAGACCTCATCAAAATACCCTAGGGACACGCTTAACTTTGTGCTTTTTGTCTGTAGCCATGACTATCACTCAGTAAATTAATTTGCAGGTGTATTCAGAGAAAAAAAAGGCTCTTGCATTTTAGCTAACTTTGTTAACACGGTCTCCTACCACCATCAGGTGAAAGGAAAGACTGCCACGCATTGGCCAGCAGGCCACCTATCATACATTCAAAGAGAGAAGCCGCGAGCAAGCTGACATCCGTCCATGGGCCGCACTTGGCCCTGGGGCGGGACTTCAGACACCCCTGCCCTAGGCAAACACATCATAAGCACCTAAACGCAAACAGCCCACTGTTCATCACCCCATCTGTGAAACTTATAGCCCAACTAGTCATTGGTCATTCCAGTTGACGCTGATTGGTCACAGTGCTTAAACTCACAGCCGATCCATAGTAACTGAGGTG